AATTTAGATAAAACATTCTTTATCAGAAATTGTTCTTATGGGTGGTTGTATTGGCATTGGAAATATGACACCTGGTTCAGAATTTAATTTTATGAATGATCCTGATGCAGCTCATATTGTTTTTACATCTCCACATGTTCCACGTCTTGTTATGATACCATTAGAATTAACACATACTGTTTTAGCAACTCCAAATATTAGTGAACGTTTACGTTCATTGGGTACCCCATTTTCATCAATTCTTGATCATTTACTTCATTTTTTTGCTGCAACTTATAAACAAGTATTTCAATTTGATTCACCACCATTACATGATCCATGTGCAGTTGCATATGTAGCTGATAAAGATCTATTTGAAGAACAAATGGTGCATGTTGACATTGAACGAACAAGTGAATTTTGTCCAGGAAGAAGTGTTTGTGATGTATTTGATATGCATCGAAAAGAAAAGAACTGTGTTGTAGTAATGAAAATTAAAGAAGTTGAGCAATTTTGGAATATGATGTTAGAAGCTATTGAACAGGCAGATAAGAAAAGTCCAGTTAATCAAACTAAATAAATGCAATGATTATTCGTTGTTTTTTCTTTTGTTTTTTGTTATTTTTTAAATGAATTATCAACAGACAAACATGATTGAGAAATTAGATCAACATTGAGTTAAGGACTTCGAAAATAAATTATGTGTGTTATTCAAATTGTATTTATGTACATTTAAGGCTGCTAATTTCGTATTGAAGTGAATGTGGACAATTGAAAGCAACGTTCAGGAATGGTTCTCTTATGTCAAACAAAACCTTCAGTAGTTCTGTGCAATTGATAAAAAAGATCAGTCTAATACGTTCGATTAGAGTGGAGACTAGAGCCCTTCAGATTCAGAACCAACCCAACGAGCTCTAGTGCAGCTAATTAGTCAAACTTTTTATCATAAAGATATTCATGATCCACCATGTGTATTAATATTCTAAGATAATACACTTAAGGAACGAAGTATTTGAGAAAAAAAATGAAGAGTTGTTGCTATGTTCTATGATGGAATTAAATGATTGTATGAATCACATACATGTTTAGATGTTTAACAACTAAGTCTCATAATGTTCTCTTTGAATAGAAGAAAAAACAATCTGATAATAAAGACTATACTGTTGATTATAAATAATGCGTGACTGCTTTTAATTTGTTTTTCTATTTATTCACTAATCATGTATAAAGTATATCAGACTTATTTTTCGTATGGGTCATTAACGAAGCTATCCATTTTTCAATAATTATTCCTAATCAAAAACATTATCAATCGTGTATCAATTAATGCTGATTAAGTTTTCGAAGCCCATGGTATGCAATGTTTTTTTATGTGAAGTCAATATGTAATTTTTGCATACGTTTATCTGAAATTCATAAGGAATTTTCCCTAGCTATAAGAAGAAACCAGTTCATTCGGTCCAAAGATTGCAAAGA